ATTAGAGTTTGCTGCTCTTAACCACCACTGCCCTCTGGCTCTCAGGAAATGGGCTGACATAACACGAAACGCTTTCGCACACACGGTGGGATCCTGCAGATACAATCTGCCAACAGCACTGCTTTCCTCTGGATTAACGTTTTTCCCCCATTTTTTTCCTGAAGCCTTTTTGTTTTTTTCCGAAAAATTGGAAAAATTGAAAAAAGAAAAGAAAAGAAAAAAAAATTGATTATGGAACGTTTTATTTTAACATGATGAATAAAATATTTTCAGACAAGGTGTTCAAATATTTTCCAAATCATTTCATATCAGATTAAACTAATTTCTGTGCACTGAGGACAAGCAAGTCCTAGGTTACAAACTAAACTTTCCAATGCAAGAACAAGATGCATTTCTTCCTTTAGGAGGTGCCATTGTCAGAAGAAAATAAAAAGGTTCCAGTTTTGTTTTTGCATGTGGGTGGGGATTCTGTTTGTAATAATTGCTTGGATACACTATATTTTTAATACGCTAGTTGTGATAATTTCATGCCAAGTAAAAACGTCCATAGTCATATTTTATGTTCCCAAAGTAACAGAATGACTTTCAATCTAGAAAAGACAAAAGAATGCTAATGTAGCATTTTTTTCAATTTTTCCGAAAATTTCCGTTTTTTTCCGAAGCAGGGAAGGCCTGCCAAGAGATTTCTCCCTGCTGAGAGGAGCCAAAGGGGGGGGGGGAATTCTGAGGCCCGAGGGAAACACCGACAGCGCGGGAAGCGGCCGGCGACAAGGACTTACTTCCTGGCACTCAGCTTAATGGTGAAGGGGCACCCGCGGGAGTCCACTTCGAAGGCGGAAGGCTTGCCGCTCGCCACGGGCCGGCAGCCGTACTTGCAGTGGATGAAGAGCTCCCCGATCTGTTCGGCCACGGCGATGTTGTTGACCACCACGGTCAGTTTGGCATTGTCCACTGGGCACTTCTCTGAGGAGAGGAGAAGAAGAAGAAGAGATTGGATGTATACCCCACCCTTCACTACCCAAAGGAGTCTCAGAGCGTCTCACAAACTCCTTTCCCTTCCCCTCCCCACAACAGACACCCTGTGAGGTAAAAGAAGAAGAGGAGATTGGATGTATACCCCGCCCTTCATTACCCAAAGAGTCTCAGAGCGGGTTACAAACTCCTTTCCCTTCCCATCCCCACAACAGACACCCTGTGAGGTAGGTGGGGCTGAGAGAGCTCTTGGCAGAAATGGTTCTTTTTCAAGAACAGCTCTTATCAGAACTACGGCTTGCCCAAGGTCATCCAGCCAGGTGCAAGTGGAGGAGTGGGGAATCAAACCCGGTTCTCCCAGATTAGAGTCCGCGCACTTAACCACTACACCAGACTGTAAATGCGGGTGGGTAAGGATCCCGGAAGGGCGCAGGGCAGCACATGACCCTAGCACAGTGGACCGCATTTTGTGGGGTGGGTGGGGGACTGAGAGCAGAAGACCCGGCGACGCCCCGGAACGCTCGCTTGGGCCTCGTTCAGGTACCTACCAGAGGTTAAGGCACATCTCCTACAGAACGTGTGCTGTAAAGAGAACACAGAGATGGTGAGAACGGATTCTGCGCCAGAGAGCCCTTCCTGTGGGGCAGGCCCAGAACTAACATGCAGCTCATGGGGGGCCCGGCCCCCTAGTGTTTCTTCCAAGTCCCCTCCCTTCCGGGCTGGCCCCAAATTGAATCAATGTAATTAACTTTGATTTAATTAGCTATGCCCCCCCAAGGCCCCCGCCCCCCAAAATTCCTAGCGACGGGGCTGCCATGGGGCCTTCTCTGACTGCTCCCTCTTTGCACACCTGGTCTTCACAGGTATACTGCTCCTCATATGAAGGTTTTGCTTAGCTATCTGGGCCCCCATCCTTCCCGAGACACTTTGTCCCTCAACTCCACTGCTGGCTGTCGACCCCCCACAGATGAGCAGGACCACTGCCACCAGATATAATGCAGATCTAAGTACGCAACCGGACAGGTGTGCTTCATAGAGCCAAATATGCAAGACACGACACGCTGAAGGAAAGCGCAACAAAGAAATTGTATTTATTTTAATTTGATTTTTGTTTGTCGTCCGCCTTTCTCACGGGGATTCAAGGCGGAAGACACAGAGCGAGTCCGGTACAATTGAGAGAGATGCCGCAGAATTAGGAAGATGCGTTAATTTATCAGGGGGGGGGGATCCAGAAAAGGGCCTGCAAGACGGAGCTCTTCCGCCAGGCTTTCCGTTGAGGCGGTGGGCGTCTCCCTTCTACTGGGCCTCCCCTTCAGCGGGCCAGATCTGTATTAACAACTGGGAACCAGTGTTCCCGCTAAGCTGAGTTAGTGTGAGCTAGCTCCCAGTTTTTTTAGCCTCCAGCTCACATATTTTTGTCTTAGCTCAGGGACGACGGCTCCAGAGCCAACTAATTGATGCAGGAGCCAAATTGCTTGCTCACAACTTTAATGCCAGGAGCTCACAAAGTAGAATTTTTGCTCACGAGACTCCACAGCTTAGAGGGAACATTGCTGGGAACCCCAATCTGAAACAGACCTCAGCCGTTGCGGCTTTGATTAGAAACATAGGGATATTATTGCATATAATCTGATGTATTTTGATTGCCTGTATATGATAGTTGATGGAACTCGCCCTGAGCCTGCTATGCAGGGAGGGTGAGATACAAATCTAATAAAATAAAACGGAAATAAATAATGTTCTCTCCCCCCCCCCCCCCCCCGCCCGCCTCAGGAACACCGGTACCCACACAGCATCAGTCCTGTATTTGCACTCACAGCAATTAAAGTTGTGAGCGAGCGATTTGGCCACTGCATCAATTAGTTTGCTCTGGACCCGTCCTTCCTGAGCTGAGACAGAAATGTGTGAGCCGGAGGCTAAAAAAACTGAGCTAGCTCACACTGACTCAGCTTAGAGGGAACACCGGTACCCACACAGCATCAGTCCTGTATTTGCACTCACAGCAATTAAAGTTGTGAGCGAGCGATTTGGCCACTGCATCAATTAGTTTGCTCTGGACCCGTCCTTCCTGAGCTGAGACAGAAATGTGTGAGCCGGAGGCTAAAAAAACTGAGCTAGCTCACACTGACTCAGCTTAGAGGGAACACCGGTACCCACACAGCATCAGTCCTGTATTTGCACTCACAGCAATTAAAGTTGTGAGCGAGCGATTTGGCCGCTGCATCAATTAGTCTGCTCTGGAGCCCTCCTTCCTGAGCCGAGACAAAAATGTGTGAGCCGGAGGCTAAAAAACTGTGAGCTGGCTCACACTGGCTCAGCTTAGAGGGAACACTGTGGCCCTCAACACCCAACTGGGCTGCTCTTCTCTTTGCCACCTGCGAGTCTTTTGTTCCCAGCCTGACTCTGGTTTGCTCTGTCACAGCACAGGGCAGGCGGGATAAGGCTGGTGGGAAGGACAAACTGGGACTGGCTTTGCTGAGACACTTTGAGAACACGTCTTGTTGCTCCCGAAAGAGAACAGGAAAGGGACCCCCCCCCCCCCGGTCAGGCTACAGAGAAGCGATGGGAGAGGGGAAAAGGCCCAATTGTGGTGTTCCACCAGGCTGCAGGCTCCCTTCTCCCAAGCTGCTTGGCAGAGGCTTACAACTGCCTCAGGTTATGAGCGTTCACTTCCCTTTCCTGGCCTGCACGGCTGCGGAATCTGTGCTCTCTTTACAGAGACGGCAGGAGGGCCGGCGAATCCAGCCAGCCTGCTTCCAACAGCTATTCCCACCCCCCCAGGGAAATAAACCGAAAACACTGTGGGGGATGGTGGAAATAGCTGTGGAAGTTTTTACGGGCAGCGGAAAATGCTTCTGGCACATCACCCCTTAGCAAATAGAAGGGGAAGTCGTGGAGGTAGTGACAGACTTCACATTCCTGGGATCCCAGATCACCGCAGACGGTGACAGCAGCCATGAAATTAAAAGACCCCTGCTCCTTGGGAGGAAAGCGATGGCGCACCTCGACAGCATGATAAAAAGTAGAGACATCGCCCTGCCAACAAAAGTCCGCATGGTCAAAGCAATGGTATTCCCAGTAGTCATGTAGGGCTGCGAGAGTTGGACTATAAGGAAGGCCGAGCGCCGGAGAATAGATGCTTTTGAACTATGGTGCTGGAGAAGACTTGAGAGTCCCTTGGACTGCAAGGAGATCAAATCAGTCAATCCTAAAAGAAATCAACCCTGACTGTTCCCTGGAAGGCCAGATAATGAAACTGAAGCTCAAATACTTTGGCCACCCAATGAGAAGGGAGCACTCACTGGAGAAGACCCTGATGCTGGGAAAGACTGAAGGTCAAAGAAGACGGGGACGGCAAAGGATGAGATGGTTAGACAGTGTCATAGATGCAACGAACATGAAGCTGAGCAAACTTCAGAGGACAGCAGAAGACCGGAAGGCCTGGCGTGATCTGGTTGCGAAGAGTCGGACTCGACTGTGCGACTGAACAACAATAAAGGAAAGACACAGTCCTTCCCTTCTACCGGTGGGGATCCTGCTGGGGACGTCCTGACCCTCAAACGGGGCGAGGCCGACCCCAGCTCCCACCTCGTCCACCTTCTTCCACTCTCCCTGGCAAAACCAAGCCTGGGTCTCAGGCCCGGGTCTCTCCAGCACCTGCTACACAAGACCCAGTTTAACTGGTGCTCCTGGGGGCTTGAACCTGGAGTCCTCCGTGCAGGCCCGTAGCTAGGATTTTGTGGCTTGTGGGGCAATTTTTTCCCCTGGTGGGGCTGAAGTTCCCAGTGCAGAAAGAAAAGCCATTTAGCCAATAGAAAGCTGTTACCAGGATAGATCTCTAAATTGCAGGCTGTCAGCCACTTTAGAGGACAGTTCTCAGCTGCTGCAAGTTAATCACTTCTGCCAGCCTGAGCAACAATTCTGAGAAGAAGCCGGCAGGTGGGGGGTGAGGACTTCTATGGTCAAGAAGCGAACACTTAGGCAGAAAAACTCTCTGAAAGGAGGCCAGTTTCTTGACACAGAGTTAGAAGGGATCCTAGAGGCCACCTACTCCAACCCCCTTGCTCAGTGCGGGAATTAGTCAACTACAGCACCCCACTCTGCTTAAAGGAGCACAGGCCTTTTGAAAAATGTTTTTAAAATGACTGAAAAAAGCATTTACAGGAGACATTCTTGTGGGGCTGTGTCTTTAAGAATGGGGGCAGAGGAGGAGGAGATTGAGGAGAGGAGATTGGATTTATACCCTGCCCTTCACTACCTGATGGAGTCTCAGAGCAGCTTACAAACTCCTTCCCCTCCCTACAACAGACACCCTGTGAGGTAGGTAGGGTTCCCAAGTACTTACCGTGATCTGGCGGGGGAAACGTGCTCCCCGGCCGGACCATTCCTCCCTGTAACGCAGCATGCCGTCGCCAGAAAGTGACGCCGGGCGACGCTCTGGCAATGGGACTGAAAACTCAATGGTACCATCAATTGAATGATCGATGGATGGTACCTCGATGGAATGATCCTGCGAGGACATCTGTGTCCCCCACCGAATCACGGTAAGTACTTGGGAAGCCTGGAGGTAGGTGGGCCTGAGAGAGCTCTGACAAAAACTGCTCTTTTTTCAAGAACAGCTGTGCCAGAACTATGGCTTGCCCAAGGTCATCCAGCAGCTGCAAGTGGAGGAGTGGGGAATCAAACCCGGTTCTCCCAGATTAGAGTCCGCGCACTTAACCACGACACCAAACAGAGCCCCCCCAAAAGCCCCACCGTAGCTACAGGCCTGCCTCTGCGGCCACCAGCACTTCACCAGTGAGCTCGCGCTCAGGCGGCTGCGCTCGGACATCTACACTCTTGCACAGAAGAAGGGATTTTGCCCTCCAATTGGCGTGTTTCCAACCAAAATGTCACAGATAAACCACGACCAAAACCACCCAGGAGCTGGACGCAGTCCCTAGCTGCCCCCCCCCGCTACCACAATGTCCTCCCTCCCCACCGCCAAAGCCCCGGCCATGTCCAGGATCCTTACCCCACAGGTGGTGATCACGGGGTCCTTGAAGACGCTGCAACACAGCTGGCAACACAGCTTCACCGAGGGCTGCTCAGCAAACACCAGCGGCTCCTGAATGGGGGTGGGAGAGGAAGGGGAGGAGAGCATTCTGGTCAAAAGGCAAGCTTGGCCTCCCCCCAGCTCCAGTTCAGCAGCAGCACCAGGCCAATTTTTGGGCAGGAACGCACAGGAACGGAGTTCCGGCTGGCTCCTGAGTTGGCCATGAGCAGCAGGAACTTGTTAGCATAATAGGCCACACCCAAGCCAATGATTAGGATGGGCTACATTAGGGGTGTGTGGCCTAACATGCAAAGAAGTTCCTGCTACAAAAAAAGCTCTGGGTTTTGACAACAAACAAGGTAAACAGAATAAGAAGCAAAAGGTGGGTGTGGCTGGATGACCACACTTCTGGTAACATGGGGGTGCGGCCTAATATGCTAATAAGCTGTGGTGTCAGGGGTGTGGCCTATTATGCTAATGAGTTTTTGCTCTTGGGTGTGGCTTATTATGCTAATGAGTTCCTGCTGGGCTTTTTCTACAAAGAAAGCCCTGAGCAGCACTATCAATGGGGGTGGGCGCTGATTCTAGCAGTAACGGCCACTGCAATGCTCCCTCTAAGCTGTGGAGTCTTGTGAGCAAAAATTCTCCTTTGTGAGCTCCTGGCATTAAAGCTGTGAGCGAGCGATTTGGCTGCTGCATAAATTAGTTTGCTCTGGAGCCATTCTCTCTGAGCTAAGACAACAATATGTGAGCCGGAGGCTAAAAAACTGTGAGCTGGCTCACACTGACTCAGCTTAGAGGGAACACTGACGGCCAGACCCCCCAAAAACCAGGGCTCTCCCTCTGCAAAGAGCAACGGCACATTCTACTGCTTGACGCCTGCCTTCCTCTCTGGAAGAATGACTGAAAGAGGGCGACGGCTCAGTGCAACGGCGTCTCTGGTGCAGTGTGGCTATGCATACGGACGCTACTGCAGACCGTCGCCCTGGGCGCCACACAAGCTTGAGGTCTGGATTTCGTGGCTGCAGCCCCCTGGAGCACACCCGGAGAGGCTTCCGGTTGAGACTCCGGGCACCAGACTGGCTTGCGGCCACTCGCTCGAACGCCCGGGGCTCAGTTTTGCCATTGATTCTCCGCCTCTCTTGCACCATGCAGACGCTGTCCCCGTTGACCACCATCCCAGGGGCCACAGGCAAAGGAAGGAAGAGGCCAAAGAATTTGGGACAAGAAGAGGAAGAAGATCTGGAAGAATGACCGAAAGAGGGCGACGGCTCAGTGCAACGGCATCTCTGGTGCAGTGTGGCTATGCGCACGGACGCTACTGCAGACCGTCGCTCTGGGCGCTACACAAGCTTGAGGTCTGGATTTCGTGGCTGCAGCCCCCTGGAGCACACCCGGAGAGGCTTCCGTTTGAGACTCCGGACACGAGACTGGCTTGCAACTACTCGCTCGAACGCCCGGGGCTCGGTTTTGCCATTGATTTTCTGCCTCTCTCGCACCATGCAGACGCTGTCCCCGTTGACCACCATCCCAGGGGCCACAGGCAAAGGAAGGAAGAGGCCAACGAGGAATTTGGGACAAGAGGAAGAAGAGATTTGGATTTATACCCCGCCCTTCACTACCCAGAGGAGTCGCAGAGCGGCTGACAAACTCCTCTCCCTTCCCCTCCCCACAACAGACACCCTTTGAGCAATGCTCCCTCTAAGCTGTGGAGTCTCGTGAGCAAGAATTCTACTTTGTGAGCTACTGGGCATTAAAGTTGTGAGTGAGCAATTTGGCTACTGCTTAAATTAGTTTGTTCTGGAGTCATGCCGTCCTGAGCTAAGACAAAAATGTGCGGGAAAACTGCGAGCTAGCTCACACTGACTCAGCTTAGCGGGAACACTGCCTGTGACGTAGGTGGGGCTGAGAGAGCTCTGACAGAGACTGCTCTTTTTCAAGGACAGCTGTGCCAGAACTACGGCTTGCCCAAGGTCATCCAGCAGGTGCAAGTGGAGGCGTGGGGAATCAAACCTGGTTCTCCCAGATTAGAGTCTGCGCAGTTAACCACGACACCAAACTGACAAATGAGGAAGCTGGCAGTACCAACTCCACCGAGCTCAGAGAGACACCGTCCTGCTTGGGAGTAGAATGAAGGAAGCCTTGAGGAAGGGCCCTCCCCCCGCCCCAGCAGCAAAACCAGATGGCCGAGGACCTTCTCCCCACGGACCTCTCCTTCTAGACCAGTGGTTCTCAACCTGTGGGTCGCGACCCCTTTGGGGGTCGAACGACCCTTTCACAGGGGTCGCCTAAGACCATCGGAAAACACAAATTTTTGATGGTCTTATGATAGCAATGAAAATAATTTTATGGTTGGGGGTCACCACAACATGAGGAACTGTATTAAAGGGTCGCGGCATTAGGAAGAGGAGGAGGAGGAGAGGAGATTGGACTTATACCCCGCCCTTCACTACCCAAAGGTGTCTCAGAGCGGCTTACAAACTCCTTTCCCTTCCCCTCCCCACAACAGACACCCTGTGAGGTAGGTGGGGCTGAGAGAGCTCTTGACAGAAACTGCTCTTTTTTCAAGAACAGCTCTTATCAGAACTACGGCTTGCCCAAGGTCATCCAGCCAGGTGCAAGTGGAAGAGTGGGGAATCAAATCCAGTTCTCCCAGATTAGAATCTGCGCACTTAACCACTACACCAAACTGGCACCAAACTGGAAGGTTGAGAACCACTGGTCTAGATCCTCCCCCGCCTCATACCGGCCCTTGCATCCACCTTGCTTTATGTGCCACTCCCCCGGGCCCCCAAATACCTACTGGCTCCTCCTCTTCCTCGTGGAGAGAGAAAGTCGAGCGCAGGGACATATTGGACTCGGAGTGCAGTGAGCGGACGGAGATGGCCGAGTCGGACCGGCGCGGAGTGTTGATGGGCGGCTGGGGAGAGGAACGAAGCACAAAATATTGCTTACAAATCACCACCCAGAGTTTCCCTTCCGCACCCAGGCTGTTTAGAAAGGTCTGCCTGCAGGGCTGTGCCTGGGACGTCTCTACTGAAATTCAGCACTCTATGCCAGATAATTTATCACAGATGATTAAAGGAATGCAGCTACTGGTGAACCGTCAGGTGCTACAAAGCCAAGACCACGGCCATACAACCCAGAAATTCTGCAACAGCAAATGTTGGAAATGTCATGATAAAGAGGGTAGTTTTTATCATATGTGGTGGATTTGTGTAATAGCAAAAGATTATTGGGGGGAGGAAATACATGAGTGTTTGCAGAAAATTTCGAAACTGAATGTTCCATATAAACCTGAATTGTTTTTGCTAAATAGTCTACCGGTATATTTAGATAAGAAACAAAAGCATATAATTGTACATGTTGTGACAGCAAGCGAGAATTTTATATGTGAAATACTGGAAAGTGAACCAGGTGCCAACACATGAGGAACTGATCGAAAAGATTTTAGAAGCTGCAGAAATGGATATTTTATCGGAAAGGCTAAAGGCACATGGCGATCAAGAGCTAGAAGCGGTATGGAATCCTTTTTACAGGTGGATTCAAACAAGAGATTAAGAGAGACAGACTTTGAGCTCATGAACCAGGATGAATACCAGAAAACATTTCTTAAACAGAAAAAAGATTTTAATTATGTAATTTAACTTGCAAGATGATGCTCTGCAGGGGTCATTTCCTGCAGGAGCGCACAAAGAGCCCAGGGGGCGGGCACATGCAACAAGCCCCACCCCCTGCTCCCAGCAGCCCACAGTCAGATCAAGAAGCAGCCAGGTAAGTTGCAGAGCCCTCCCCCCGCCCCCCCGCCCCAAAAATGTCCAGTGGCACCTTTAAGACCAAATTTTATTCAGATGCAAGCTCTCCCTCCTCTGCGAGGACAGATCTGCATGTTCCCCCCCCCCCAATAGCTAGCAATTCAAAACAGTCCAGTGGAGCCTGAGCGGTGGGTGTTGCCTTCTGACACACTTCCGGTGATGCCAGGGGGTGTGGCATATGCAAATGAGTTATGCTAATGAGCTCCTGCACCTCTTTTTCTACGAAACGACCCCTGATGCTCTGTACTCTACCGGCTCCTGAATGTCATACCCACCGCTTATCCCACCCCTTCCTTACCTTTTCCCTGATGAATATATAAAAAGGAATAATTAAAGAAAACCCACTCCCAATCGGTCTTTGGCTTAGCAAAAGGCCCAGTGGACTGTACGTGAGCAGTGAAACGGTGAGGGAAGCGTGGAGACAAGCGAACCCCTGCCACCTCTTTGAGTGTGCCGGATCGCGACCAACCGGAATGACCTCCCTGGCTCGGCACGGCTCTGTAACAGTTACGGCGCGGCTGCTTCGTCACTGACGGGGAAGCCGCCAGGAAGCTTCCCCCCAACACTTGCTTTGGCAAGCTCTCTGTGCTATTGGGCTGCCAGTGTGTTGCTTCATGGAGAGAAAAGAAGGAAGACTGCGGAGCTTCTTTGAAAGCCAGATTCTGCGGCCGGGACCACATCCTGCAGTATCTCCGCACTTCCACAAAACACACAGAGTCCAGCACACAGCTTGTCGTTTTTCGCAGGTTCCTCCTGCATTCACGGCAGCAAGGGGAGACGGCGGGACTCCGGCTCAGATTCAACGGGAGCACATTTTTTGGTTTGTCTGGCCCCTCCCCCCAAATAAACTGTGGCTACCCAAAACTCAGAAACGGCCAGGTGAATTGGGGCCAGTGTCCCCTCTAAGCTGAGCTAGTGTGAGCCAACTCACAGTTTTTTAGCCTCCGGCTCACAGATTTTTCTCTTAGCTCAGGAAGGAGGGCTCCAGGGCAAACTCATTGATGCAGCGGCCCAATCGCTCGCTCGCAACTTTAATGGCAGTAGCTCACAAAAGTACAACTTTTGCTCACAAGACTCCACAGCTTAGAGGGAGATTTGGGCCCTGGCAGAGGAGAGGGAGGGGAAAGGAAAGCGGCAGATCTGCTGTTCGGCCTCCGAAACCGTAACCTGGACAAGCCTCGGAGGAATGATGGCTGAGGCCCCAGAAAGAACCCCTCCCTCTAGGCACCCGCGTAATTCCCGCAGTCTGGACAAGGTTTCAAGCCACAGACCCAGACGAGGCTATCCTCGAAAGGGTGCCGTGCAGCGGGGAGACCCCTCCTGCCCCACAAGCCACCTGCTTCTGCCTGGCTGCCCGAGGTCTCACCTTCCACGCATGGGGCCGGGCAGGGTCTCCGCCAGGCTTCTGCCCGGCGGCAGCAGCCAGGCCCGATCCGTTATGGAAACCTTAGCGTGCTCCTAGCGAGAGGTTCCACGGCTCTGCCGTTTCTAAGAGCGCTCTCGGCGAGTCCTGCCAAGTCTCTTTTGCGTAGATGGCCAGAGACTTCCTCCAATTCAATTTGCTCTGGGTTCTGCTTTCTGGCTTCCTGTTCGGGGGTGGGAGAGCCAGCCAGGCACCCTGCCTGCCAATCGCAGGGCTCGCGTGGACTCAGAGCCGGCCGGGATTGGCTCGACGAGGGATGCTGCCACTGGAATCACACACCCCTCTGTGTCTCTAACGCAGCATTACAGCGTCAGAGAGGACCTGCTGAGCCGACGAGCGTCCGGATTCACTTGCCGGGGGCGGGGGGAGAAAAACCCAGACTGCAATGGCAAGAGCTCAAGGAACAGACCCAGAAAATCTATTCTAAACAGTACATGAATTAACTCGGCAATCTTCACAACAGCCTTGCGAGGGAGGCCACTACTATCATCCCGATCTTGTCAACAGAGGGCCGGTTTACAGCCATTGGCCAGCTTTGCAGGTGAAGAACATTCTGGCCTGTGCTCTTTCGGTATTCCTCCCTCGCAGGGCTTTAAAAAAAAAAAAAAAGAATAGCGTGCCGGTACTCTCAAGAGGGAAATGAAGTTTCCAGCCTGTATACTGAAAAATCATGAACTTTTAAACATTTGAAAAGGAATTTTTGTCAAAGAGGTTCCGGGACTCCGTATTCTTGATTCTATGATTCCTCCAGAGAGCTCAGCTCTCCTCGTACCCCTCCTGACAACCAGCCTTTTGGGGGAGACGAAGCTGAGGGGAAGAGTGCCCCGAAGATGCCCAGTGACCAATGTTCCCTCTAAGCTGTGGAGTCTTGTGAGTAAAAATTCTATTTTATGAGCTACTGGCGTTCAAGTTGTGAGTAAGCAATTTGGCTACCACACTGAATTGAGTTTGCTCTGGAGCCATCCTTCCTGAGCTAAGACAAAAATGTGTGAGCCGGAGGCTAAAAAACTGTCAGCTAGCTCGCACGAATGTTGCCGGCATTCCCAGCAGTGAACCTGGGGTGGTCTGTCCCGAGAGAGAGACACCCCAAAACAACCTCTGAACCGCCACAAGCGGTGCCCTATGAAGCCAGGCTTGGTTTAAACAGTGGCTTTTTGCTGGGAGGCTAGGAGAACCACATCTTGGCTGAGAAAACTCCGGCCGAAGAATTCTGCAGGCTGGCTGCACGGCCAAGCATTCCCCATGCATGCAATCCCCCCCCCTCTTCTGTCAGCTTAGTCTAAAAAGGACTAAGCAAGGGCAAGTCCTTGCCCTTGCCTTAGGCATCTTCTGCTGACCAAATGGCTAGTCTTTTGACCGTCAAATGTTCAGGCAGGCAGAGACAAAAAGCCTCTGGTCTGTGCTACTGCCATGAATGAAGTGTGTTGCCTATTTCCACCCCCCTCTCCTGTTTCACCCAAGTCAGGAAGTATCTTTGGAATAATCCTCTCATCCCTGTCTCCATATATTTGTCTAAGATCTCTGCATTCTTACACCTATGCCAGACCTATCAAGGTAAACATTAACTCTTCATGTCTAGTGAGTGGTCAGCCATTCAGGTTCACCCTGCCACACATTAAGAAACATCACTCCTTTTGTCTGGCACTAGGGGAAACGCCAGACCACGATGGACACCCCCAGTACAGTCACCCAGCACCTGGCTTCTATTGTTACATCCAGACCCTGCCTCTCTGGAAGCCCATTGGTCACATCTAATCCAGACCCCGCCTCTCTGGAAGCCCATTGGTCACATCTAATCCAGACCCTGCCTCTCTGGAAGCCCACTGGTCACATCTAATCCAGACCCCGCCTCTCTGGAAGCCCACTGGTCACATCTAGGCCTTGCCCATCCTGATGCCACACCCCCCCTGGGACTCATCATTGGTCCAGGAAATCTATTGTTCTCACCTGAGACCAGCCCCATTGGTCTGCATTGTCTTCCAGTGGGTATATCTCAGCGTAAACATGGCCTCAGACCGTGTGTTTTCTGCCATGATGCCACCTCTGGGTTTTGAGTCACAACCCTTCTTCATGGACCTCTGCACATCTGGACCAGGTAGTATCACCCCATATCCCCTCCATTAGCCATCAATCACCTCTGCTTCCTTAGGTCTGTATTGTGTGCGTGAATGCTTAATTATTGTTTGTGCGCTTGAGAATATTTAGTAAAGGAATCCTTATTTTAGCCACCCAGTCTCTTTGTCTATTCCTGGGTTCTTGGGAATTCCAACTCTGGTATACACAGGTCTGATCTTACAGTTATGCCAATTGCATATTAATATCATAATTCCCCAATCTTTTATTAAATAATAGAGCAATTTGGCTAACACTAACTCAGCATAGAGGGAACACTGCCAGTGATGCTGAGCGGGGCCTGGAATTCAGGGTCCAGTCTGCCCCTTTAGCCTCAGCTAACATATTTCCCATCACCCTCTCTTCACTGCGTCTAGACCAAATAAGCGTCTAGACCAAGGCGATGACCAAACTCCAGAAAGCAGGGAGATCTAAACTGGGGGGTTGCTTATTTGGCTGCAGGCTTTTCCTCGCACATCTTCCTAACATCCCTGAGATGTTGGCCAGGGCCAAGAGAGAAGCTAATACAAAAACTGAGGGTCACAATGTTAGGAAGATATGGAAAAGTATATGACACTGTGCATAATAGATGCATGCTTAAGGTAGATCTATTTCGTGCTTTTTATTTTTAAAATTTTTTCTATAAGGTAAAGGTAAACATAAGAGACGCCAATGTTGGATCAGGCCAAAGGCCCATCCAGTCCAACACTCTGTGTCACACAGTGGCCAGAAATACCAGGTAAAGGTTTTCCCTGCTCGAAAGCCAGTTGAATCCAACTCTAGGGGGTGGTGCTCATCGTTTCCAAGCCGAAGAGCCAGCACTGTCCGAAGACGTTTCCATGGTCGTGTGGCCGGCATGACTACACACCAAGGCGCGTGGAATGCTGTTACCTTCCCTCCAAAGCGGTACCTATTTATCTACTTGCAATTTCTTGCTTTTGCAGGAGCTGGGACCAGAGATGGGAGCTCACTCTGTCATGCGGCACTCGGGTCTCGAACTGCTGAACTACCGACCTTCCGGTCTGCAGTTCAGCACCTAAACCTCTGTGCCACCACAGCTGTTATATAAATATTGGTGTCAAGTATTACCAAACATAGGTTTCACCCAAACAATATATCAAAGTGCAGGTTTACACTATGTTCAAACATTCATACAGCACCTTGTCGATTTCACAATCACTAGTCCAAGCTAACTAGCTAAAGAGAAGCTAGCCAGTGGATGAACCAGAGATTGGATTTATACCCTGCCCTTCACTACCCAAAGGAGTCTCAGAGCAGCTTACAATCTCCTTCCCCTCCTCTCCCCACAACAGACACCCTGTGAGGTAGGCGGGGCTGAGAGAGCTCTGAGAGAACAGCTCTGAGAGAACTTGTGACTGACCCAAGGTCACCCAGCTGACTGCATGTGGCGAAGCGGGGAATCACTCGGTTCTCCAGATTAGAGTCCGCCGCTCTTAACCACCACACCAAACTGACACAGAATCAACAACTAGAGGAACCCCAGTTGGCAAACATTCAGAAAAGTATAGGAAACATGACTGTGAAAGAAAGTGCAACCCCCCCAAAATATTTTTCTAAACGAAAGTGTGATTATTTGAATATAAATGTGATTATTTCTTAACAAGGCTATTCATCTAACACAAAACCTACTCCAAATAATTGCAATGAAGACGTAGTCATCCAAATCATGAGTTTACAAAAAGTATAAACTCGGAAGTAGACGTCAAGCAAACGATCGAAATGTTCTGATTCTGCATACTCCAATACATCTGCTACCAGTACGAAGTCCATAGTATGAATTCCAAGGCGAGGTTTCCGGATTTAATTTCACTCGTTTCAAATAAACAAATCTCTTCTTCAGTGTTTTCAAGAAGTTTAAATCAGTTAGGAGCTACAGGGTATGACCCCAAGGTTAGGAGCATCAACTACATTCACAGAAAGACACACGGTACCAATCCAATTTCTTACAGAAGAAGAGGAGGAGGAGAGGAGGAGGAGACAGAGATTGAATTCATACCCCGCCCTTCACTACCTGAAGGAGTCTCAGAGCGGCTTACAATCTCCTTTCCCTTCCCCTCCCCACAACAGACACCCTGTGAGCAGGATTCCCTCTAAGCTGAGTTAGTGTGAGCTAGCTCACTGTTTTTTACCCTCTGGCTCACACATTTTTGTCTTATCTCAGGGAGGGCTCCAGTCCAGAGCAAACTAATTGATGCAGTAGCCAAATCACCTGCCTGCTCACAACTTTAATGCTGGTAGCTCGCAAAGTAGAAATTTTGCTCACAGGACTCCACAGCTTAGAGGGAGCATTGCCTGTGAGGTAGGTGGGGCTGAGAGAGCTCTGAGAGAACAGCTCTGAGAGAACTGGGACTGATCCAAGGTCACCCAAGATGGCTGCATGTGGAGGAGGAGTGCGGAATCAAACCCAGCTCTCCCAGATTAGAGTCCGTGCTCCTAACCGCTACACCAAACTGGCTTTCTCAGTTTGAACCAATGGTTCGAAACATTGCTAATGTCGGTTTTGGTTAGTGCTGCTGTTAAAAATAAATTGGCTTTCCAGACGGAACACAGAAAGATTGGCAATTCTAGGGGCTGCAGAGCTGCCCCTCGCCACTCCCCTTATTTGAGAAAAGAAATCACCATTGAATCTATTTTTTCTCAAGAATGAGATCAACTAGATCTAATAGCTGGAACAGTTTTGTTAAGAAATAATCACATTCGTATTGAAATAATCACACTTTGTTTAAGAACAAAAATATGTGCTGTGTTTCTGCGCTTCCACAGTGATATTTCCTATATTTCTCTGCATCTGACACGGAAGCACGGACGGGAAACCTCTACGGCCGGGGCCAGCCCTGCTCCTTGAAGGCACGCTCTTCAATGAAATCCTCCGCAGCAAAAGCCCCACCCAAGTGAACCCGCATGGTCAATGATGCTTCTGGAAGTCGGCCCAATGATCGTCCCCACAGACGTGCCGAGCCGTCCTCTGAAGGGCGCCCCCTAGGAGCGCAGACAGGAGGAAGCAACGGCAGGCGAGGAGATGGGACCGGAAAGCCATTGTGGGACTGGCACGTCATGACCAATGCCCCCTCTAAGTCGTGGAGTCTTGTGAGCAGAAATTCTACTTTGTGAGCTTCTGGCACTGAAGTTGTGAGCAAGCGATTTGTCTACGGCGTAAATTAGCTTGCTCTGGAGCCCTGTTTCCTGAGCTGATACGATAATGTGTGAGCCGGAGGCTAAAAAACTGTGAGCTGGCTCACACTAAGCTTAGAGGGAACACTGGTCATGACTGCTGGCTTTGCTCCAGGCTCCACAGGGCCTTCTGCCTCTGCAGGGCCCCCCCCCCGCCCCCGCGAGACACATACCATGCCATCGTCCTCGTCCCGAGGGGAGTAGGTGAGCGTGCTGGAAGAGGAGGGTGTCCGGCGGTGCTGCTTGAAGGTGCCGCTCCCGTCTGCTAGAAGGAGAGGGAGGACAGTCACGTGAGACATTCCACAACCTAGCAGGGTTCACAATGCCTAGCCAGAAACCAGCCCCCCCCCCAAGTCTCTTCATTTCCACCCACATATTGGTTATGCTGGAAGCGGTAGCTCACAAAAACAGATAGACAAACAAGCACCACAGTTCGCATCTAGGCACACTCAGAACACCGTTGCTGACCAGGCAACAGACGTGGGACCCCTTAAAGGGAGCCAAGGGAGCGGTGGCGCAGGGGATTTTTCCCTGCTTAACATTAACATCTGAACTGCCATGCTTTGGCAGTTCTAGTTCTAGCCCCGTGCTGGTGTGAGCAACCAAGCCTTGTCCTAGCTCATCGTCTACCCAGCGATTCGAAAGCTTTGGTGAGTAGATAAATTGGGGACCACCCATAAGGGGGTGGGCACACCCCTCCCTTCGGGAAGGTGTTAGCTGCCGAGGCAACGTCTGAGGCGCGGCGACCGGAAAGAGGAAAGAACTGTCTGCTTCCCTGCAGTGGAGCGAGTCGGCCAGGCGGTGGCAGTGTGTGGCTGCACAACATCAAGAAGCCAGACGTCAACAGCCAGCCGACAAGATGCCGTAGGAACACAACTAACCCAGCCCGGAGATGAAGCCCGGCTAGCTGCAGTGTGTGTGTGATTAATGCTGTATGTTTGTCTTCCCCATCCCCACAAATATTGTTTGTCCAACTGTCTCAAGAGTAACTGTAAATCGCTCTGAGCTCGCAGGTATGTGGGAAAGAGCAATCAATAAATCGAAAGCATTATTATTATTATTATTATTATTATTATTATTATTATTATTATTATTATTATGCTAAATTAGCTGTCCGACGTTTATTGGTAGGGATGGGAAAGATCTGCGCCCCAAACTCAGAAGGGCTGCCGTCTTCTTGTGGACTTCTGAACGCAAAGCAAATGGGCTAGTGGGATGACATATGAATGCACGAAGCTGCGTTCTACCAGGCCTGGTCTCTTGTTGTCTCCTCTTACAGGCAGATCAATAAAGACAGGTCACCATGTTAGTCTGTCTGTAGCAGCAGAAAAGAGCAAAAGTGCAGTAGCACCTGAAAGACTCACAAGATTTGCGGCGGGGGACAAGCTTTTTTGAGTCACTGCTCACGCCTTCGGATACTTGAAGAAGAAAAGGTGAGCGGTGACTCATGAAAGTTCCTACCCTGCCACAAATGTTGTGAGTCTTTAATTGAACTATGGTGCTGGAGAAGACTCTTGAGAGTCCCTTGGACTGCAAGGAGATCAAATCAGTCAATCCTAAAAGAAATCAACCCTGACTGTTCCCTGGAAGGCCAGATAATGAAACTGAAGCTCAAATACTTTGGCCACCAAACGAGAAGGGCGCACTCACTGGAGAAGACCCTGATGCTGGGAAAGACTGAAGGTCAAAGAAGACGGGGACGGCAAAGGATGAGATGGTTAGACAGTGTCATCGATGCAACGAACATGAAATTGAGCCAACTTCAGAGGACGGCGGAAGACAGGAGGGCCTGGCGTGATCTGGTCCATGGGGTCGCAAAGAGTCGGACTCGACTGTGTGACTGAACAACAACAAAGGTGCTCCTGGACTCCTGCTCTTGTCTACTCTTGGAGGAAGCGGCTTTCCAGGGTCTCTTGTTGGGGATTTCCCCATCACTCGTCACCCGATCCTTTTAATTGAATATGCTGAGGATTGAACTGGGGACCTTCTGCGTGCAAAGCAGCTGCTCTGCCGCTGAACCACAGGCCCCACCCACCACAAGCTCAATGTAATGCCGATCCTTGCATGCAATTGTCTCTTTGGTTCCAGGGGCTGCCTGGTCAAGCACGTGGGGTGCAAAGGAAGCGGGACTGTCCTTTGGGAAATTTATTTTCATCCCTCTGGCTGATGCCCTCCATCAGCCCAACACCGTCAGCCCACAAGGGTGGCAACACAGGACCATGACCAGTACGCCTCCCCTCCGTTGTGCACTGACCACAATGACTAAACGTGGACCCTCCAAGTACGATATACTCTAGCTCCAACAACTGCTGCCTACAATAGTGTTTCCATATGTTCCCCCAAGGGCCCTACGGTCAGAGAGTCGTCATCTCCTGGAAATTCCAGGCCCTAAAGATGTTAAATTTGCGGTGACCAGGACCAGGGCGTTTTTGGTGGTGGCTCCTACCTGGTGGAAGGAGCTCCCGGAGGAGATCCGGGCCCTGTGGGACCTTTCTCAGTTCCGCAGGGCTTGCAAGACGGAGCTTTTCCGCCAGGCCTTTGAGTAGGAGCCGCCGCCACCACTATTCCACCACCGCCCCTATGCACTATCGTATTACCATCATGATTGTCTGGATCCCACTGGAAAGACGAGACGTCCGGGCATGATTTGGGTGACAAGATTTCAAGAAGCTACCATGGAGGTTAAGATCTACCCATCTTGGTTAAACTTGTAAACTTGTATTGTAAACTTGTTACTGTATTTTATTGTAATTTATTGTTTTATATTATGTGTTTTATTGTTATAATCTTGGCACATAGTGCCCCTGTAAGCCGCCCTGAGCCTTCGGGGTAGGGCTGGATATTTATTATTTATTTATTTATTTGTTAGATTTCTATACCGCCCTCCCAAAGGCTCAGGGCGGTTCAGAAGCGGCGAAGCCGGAATCTAAAATACAATAAAACACACAATAGAATACAATATTTAACCCACAATAAGCAACCTAAAACACAGTGCTACATCATCAGCCAAAGTGGGGACGATCTTCCAGCTTGGTGGCCAGCCATTTCCAGCACGCGGTCTCCCCGCTAAGCTGTAAAAACTTCAGCCTGGGCATAACTGTCCCACCTTCGTAGGGCAGCCGATGACATACTATCTCGTTGGTAGGATAGTGGCGGCGGCGGCTCCTACTCAAACGCCTGGCGGAAGAGCTCCGTCTTACAGGCCCTGCGCAACTCCATATAAATCCATAAATAAATAAATAAATAAAATAGTGCTTGTCCACCAGACCCTGCTCTGGAGGACCCAAAGGCTTATGAGCGGCCGGGCGGGAGTCGTGGCCACTAGGACCCTTTGCTCTGAGGACCCAGCAAGGCAATTCTGAGGTCTGTGGAGCAGATGCAAAGCTGGTGTTCAAGGAACAGAGGGAGATGACAGGGCTCTTTTTGTAGCAGGAACTCCTTTGCATATTAGGCCACACCCCCTAATGTAGCCAATCCTCCAAGAGCTTACAGAGCTCTTCTTAGAGGAGCTACTCCTTTAAGGGAGTTATGGCCTCTCTGGGCAGGAGAGGACGACATAGAGCTCTCCATGTTTACCTTTAGCGATGGTGGTGGCTGCAGAGTACGCGGGGCCAAACGTGGTCTCCATCCTCGTCTGAAACACACAGAGAACCCTGTTAACCTATTGGCAACCCTCGACAGAGGGAGAGAGTTCTCAGGAGCCGGGGGAAGAAGAAGAAGAAAAAGAGAAGAGATTGGATTTATACCCCGCCCTTCACTACCCAAGGGAGTCTCAGAGCGGCTGACAAACTCCTTTCCCTCCCCCTCCCCACAACAGGTACCCGGTGAGGCAAGCGGGGCTGAGAGAGCTCTGACAGAAACTGCTCTTTTCCAAGAACAGCTCTTATCAGAACTACGCCTTGCCCAAGGTCATCCAATATTAGGCCACACCCCCTAATGTAGCCAATCCTCCAAGAGCTTACAGAGCTCTTCTTAGAGGAGCTACTCCTTTAAGGGAGTTATGGCCTCTCTGGGCAGGAGAGGACGACGTAGAGCTCTCCATGTTTACCTTTAGCGATGGTGGTGGCTGCAGAGTACGCGGGGCCAAACGTGGTCTCCATCCTCGTCTGAAACACACAGAGAACCCTGTTAACCTATTGGCAACCCTCGACAGAGGGAGAGAGTTCTCAGGAGCCGGGGGAAGAAGAAGAAGAAAAAGAGAAGAGATTGGATTTATACCCCGCCCTTCACTACCCAAGGGAGTCTCAGAGCGGCCTACAATCTCCTTTCCCTTCCCCTCCCCACAACATACACCCTGTGAGGCAGGCGGGGCTGAGAGAGCTCTGACACTAACTGCTCTTTTCCAAGAACAGTTCTTATCAGAACTATGGCTTGCCCAAGGTCATCCAGCAGGTGCGAGTGGAGGAGTGGGGAATCAAACCCGGTTCTCCCAGATTAGAGTCCGCGCACTTCACCACGACACCAAATACATTGAGTATGTATTTACACACAAAAATAGCCAAGTTGGTGAGGGACACAGTGTGGAGAATAACAAATAGAAGAAGAGATGGGATTCATACCCTGCCCTTCACTCGGCATCTCAGAGCGGCTTACAATCCCCTTTCCCTTCCCCTCCCCACAACAGACACCCTGAGAGATGGGTGGGGCTGAGAGAGCTCTCTTGAAGACGGCTCCTGAGAGAACAGCTCTGTGACTGACCCAAGAAGAAGAAGAGATTGGATTTATACCCCGCCCTTCACTACCCGAAGGAGTCTCAGAGCGGCCTACAAACTCCTTTCCCTCCCCCTCCCCACAACAGACACCCTGTGAGGTAAAAGAAGAAGAAGAAGAGAAGAGGTTGGATTTAAACCCTGCCCTTCACTACCCAAAGGAGTCTCAGAGCGGCCTACAAACTCCTTTCCCTCCCCCTCCCCACAACAGACACCCTGTGAGGTAAAAGAAGAAGAAGAGAAGAGGTTGGATTTATACCCCGCCCTTCACTACCCAAAGGAGTCTCAGAGCGGCCTACAAACTCCTTTACCTCCCCACAACAGACACCCTGTGAGGCGGGTGGGGCTGAGAGAGCTCTGACAGAAACTGCTCTTTTTCAAGGACAGCTCTTATCAGAACTAGGGCTTGCCCAAGGTCATCCAGCAGGTGCAAGTGGAGGAGTGGGGACTCAAACCCGGTTCTCCCGGATTAGAGTCCGCACACTTAACCACTACGCCAAACAGAAGAGGGTGCCGTTCCCAGACAAAACTGCCCGAGGGCTGGATGCAGCGGCTCTTTTGAGGAGCAGCGCTCCCAGGACCTCCTCGCACCAAGACAGAAAGCAAACACACATTTTCCCCCAAACCACCCCCCTTCTTTCTTACCCCGTTGGCGCTTTCCGAAGGAGCGCTGTTGGCTGTGCCGCTGGGGAAACGGTTGTAGCGGGCGTTCTTGTTGGCGCTCATGCTCTAGCCCCGCATTCGCCAGTCGTAAAAGCTGCCTCTGCCAAAGTAAGAGAGAGAGACCGTCAGGATTCGGTGTTCCCTCTAAGCTGAGTTAGTGTGAGCCGGCTCACAGTTTTTTAGCCTCCGGCTCACACATTTTTGTCTTAGCTCAGGAAGGGATGGCTCCAGAGCAAACTAGTTTATGCAGTAGCCAAATCGCTCGCTCACAACTCTAATGCCAGCAGCTCACAAAGTAGAATTTTTGCTCACAGGACTCCACAGCTTAGAGGGAGCATTGTGTCAGATGTGACATTATAGATCGATTTATAAAGATGCTCTCCATCATCTTGCCTCAATGGTTGTGCTCAAGGCAATCTTGGGCTGGATCCTGTGGATCTGCCGTGCCAAGCGTGGTGCCTTCCTCCCTGCTGCCAATGGGAGAAGCTCCGGAGCCCCACTGCCACTCGCAGAACAGACACCGTTTTCTATTATACATTTAAAACATTTATATTTTAAATATTTTTATGCTGTCATCAGGGAAGGGACCTCAAGAGGGCAAACACAAAAATTTAAAACGTTTAAAACAATTTGAACATTTTGAAAATTAAAACGCTAGAACCCCTCCCACTGTTGCCCCCCCACAAGCACCAAGAATACAGAGCATCCCTTG